CGACCATGTCGCTCGACAACCAAGGAGCTGCGTCGCTCTGCCAGCATCCAGGTTCCCACGACGACAGCAAGCACATCGAGGTTCGACATCTCGGCGTCCAGGAGTACCTTGAGCAGCGTGGCCTCAAGATTGAGACGATCTCGACCAACGACAACACGGCTGACATTCTCACGAAGGGTCTTGGTGCAGCCAAGTTTGTCAAGTTCCGAGACGAGCTCGGCATCAGAGACGTCAAGGAAGCTCTGCGTGCAGCCGAAGAACAAGTCCAACTCGACTGAACGCGGGGGAGTATGAGATCACGAACTACCAGCTGACCCAGAGATGGTTCTAGATCACTGGAAAGGGGTTTTCTGTTTTGTACTTGGAGTCCTGGATAATGCACTCTTCCTTTCCACTCTCGTGCCTCGCATACCTCACGGCAAGCTGCAATGCACTCAAATTGCGATTTCCATGTTAAAACAAAAACTCTTCCTTGTGAAAGTCAAAGCCGCACTGGCGCGCGTGGCGCTGCGTGTCAACGACAAGACCCGGCGGCCCGCACGCAAGGACGCACACCGCTTTGCCAACGTACGCGACATTGTTGACAATCTCATCAAGCACCATGCGTCCAGGGTAGTACATGACCGGGCCCGACGACTCGCTCATGACGTGACCTTCGTCACTGGCCTCGGTCACGTGAAAGCGGTGGTGCAGCGACTCGGGCAACGGAAACATGAGGCGATCGGCGCACAAGAGCTCACTCGCCTCGCGCACACTCCAAAACAAATGCAGCTTGCTCCCGACTTTGCGCTCGACGTGTCGAAACTGGTTGACGAGACTTAGCATCGGGGTCACGCCAATGCCGCCAGAAACCATAAGGACGACGTCGTAGCGACCGAGGTCCAGCGACAGCTTGCCGTACGGCCCACCAACTGCGATCGGCAGCGTCATCGCTTGCTGCGTGCGCGCATACTCGTACACGTCGTCGACGAAGCGGTGTTTGGTCCTGACCTTGAGGCAAAAGCCGATCGAGTTGCCGTCCGGCGTCACGATGGCCGAGAACGGATGCCACTCGAAACGCGAGACGCTGGGCACTTGGACGTAAAAGAACGAGGCCGGGTTCATGGTCGCCGCCCAGCGCTTGGTCTTGTCGGTGGGAGGGAGGACCAGCGTCACCACATTCTCAAACGTCACATCGACG